GACAGTGCGGCGCTCCCTCGGCGCTGACCCTCTGACAGTGCGGCGCTGAACCTCTGACAGTGTGGCGCTCCCTCGGCGCTGACCCTCCGACAGTGCTAACCTGAAACTTACTGAATCTGAATCCCTTGCCTTACTCCTTCGCTGCACTCAGCCTAACGACAGGAAATGTTTTCTCTTGATTGACCGTGTCAAACCCTTACTCATCAGAAACATCTTGAATAGATCGTCCCTGAATGTGCTCACTGTGAGGGAATACCAGCCTTATCTATGCACCCCTCAAACACCATCAATTGTTCCAGAGCTGTGGCCTCCAAATCTGAAGACAGTCCAGAGGGAATGTCACCAGAATCTTCTAAAAGTGGTGCAGCGTCTGTTTCTCATCCTGCCCCCTCCATGACAAAAGGAGCCTGTTTCTCGTTTTGGGGTGTAGGTGAGTGTTTAACGGGTGACTGGGGTTGGAGCAGAGAGTGAATGGTTTCTCCTTTCTCTCACCAGGCAGCTTACCAGGACAATACGGTGGGGCTGCCCAGGTTCTGTCCTGCAGAGAACGTGGAGAAGATCGATCAGAAGCTGCTTCACTCGTTCCTGAGGAATTACTACACAGCAGACAGGCTGGTGCTGGCTGGAGTTGGAGTTGATCATGACCAACTGGTGGAGCATGCAAAGAAATACCTGCTGGGTATGGTGGCTGCTTCAAGCACATTGCTGCTGAGCTTTTATTGTCAGTCAATCAGAGAGGCTTTGCAAGCGCCAAAATATCAAACCTGCTCCAACAGCCAAAGCACAAGAAGCCAATCAGCCGATTGTGCACAGGCTATCTCATTTGCAGCTCTACCCCCTGCTCTTTGCCCCATTCAATTAGTTTCATTCGCCCTTTCAGGCAGCATGTTCCAGAGCAACAGAGCTTTGGAAGACAGAGCCCCCTCTATCAGCTGATTGACCATCATCACCAGTGGATTAGTTATTCCATTAGATCCCTTCAGGATGGTCAGTGCCACTGTTTAAGGGAGAACATCAACTCTCAGCATCGGTTCCACTCAGTGACGTGTAAGACATACACTCCTCAACTGAAGATCTCTTCTGAAAGACATAATGTCCACAACACTGGTTTTCTCTTGGCGCTGACCCTCCGACAGTGCGGCGCTCCCTCGGCGCTGACCCTC